TTTAGAGTTCAAGTCTGTATGGTTTTGAAAAGCCTTTTTTTCTTTTTCCTGAGTTCCCAGGCACATGCAGCTCTTTCACCAGTGCTGTAGAGTTTTTTTGGCAAACAACATTCTCCTGTACTCCTGCAGTATGACCGCCAGAAGCAAAGGTCTAATCCTGCACAGTGCTTCACACCTGTAATTGCAGTCCTCCAGAGAATTGCCTTGAATTTGAGGCCAGTCTGGACTACATAGTGAGTCCAAGACAGGCTGGGCTGCTACAGTGAGACTCTGCTTCAAATAAACGAAAACAAAACGCAAAGTCAATATTGGTTCCTTGCTGCCATTGACTCTTCAGCCCCCATTGAAGGCGTATCCCTCCCATTATTGCCTCCTAAATGCAGCTTTTGAGCTTTTGTAGCAAAAGGACTGCCTGATGGTTTTGGTGTTAGCTCCTCAGTTTCCCTTTACTCACAGCAGGTTTTTAAGTTTTCCTTGACTTTGACCCTGGGAAGCTTTCCAGCCTTTTGTTTTGTAGTTTGCCTCTTAGCTTTCACGGTGCAGTTGTCTGATAGGTAAGTCCCCATGATGATAGGTGATAACAGGTGATAGAGTACTTGGTTAAGGTTGTGTCTCCCCGCCTACTATTACTCTTCCCCTTCAAAACTGAAAAGTATTTTGTGGGTAGGTGCTTTTAAACTCTTTGAATGTTCCATTCACCTCTCATAATTTATTTATTTCTTATTTCTCCTTTGTGTTTTACAAATTTACATAATGATTTATAACCTCTTTTAGCAATACTTACAGTGATCTTATGCCATCCCATATATTAGAATCCCCTTCAATCTGTCTTCTAATGTAAGGATTTCTACTTTGTGGCAGGCAGTTTGTTTTCATAGTAAGCTTCCCTGGACCTAACCCCTCCAATTAGCATTTTAGTTCCTCCCCACAAATAACTGTGGTTCTTTTAGTAAAGAATGGTAATTAAAAGCTGCAAATCTGTGTGCTAAGTAGGCTCATCACTATTTGAGTATTCCTTGTTTTGTAGCCTCATAGTTTCAGATACACAGAGGGAGGGTGTGAGAAAGGAGAGAATAGGTACATGTATATGTTATGTCTATATTTATTGAAAATGAGTACTTGCTGATAACCAATTTAGATCCAACTCCATGTGTTTGTTCTTCCCCCACTGTATTTTTGTAGCTCCTTTTTGTTGAGGCTGAGAAATCTGGCTGATGTTGTCTTACTGCCCTTCTTTATTGTTGCCCTTCGGCATGTAAGTGCCTTTCCATTGCCGCCAGAGTGGGTGTCCTCTTCACTCTGCTTGGGCTCTGAGTCAGCACAGGGATCTTTTAGAGCTCCCAAAATGACATTTCTGTGCAGCTTAGATGGGAAATACCTGAATTAAGAGGCAATTCCTACACCGTTTGACTCAAGCGAAAAATCAGGTTCGAAAAACGAAGACCACCTGAGAAATCTCCGATAGGAACAGATGGCCCAGATGACAGAGTTCTACATCCAGAACAGATTCAAGACTGCTGCCTGAGATGATCAAGACTCACAGAATACTCCAATCAGGACTTGATTATAACTCTAAATTTTCTTTAGGTCCCCATAAGATCATCAGCGCCCCCAACCAGCAGGAAGTAGCCTGAAATACTATGCCCACATTCCCAACAAATGGACTATGGATATTTTCCTTTGTTTAAAAAAAAAAAAAAAAGAGGGAAATGGTATGGGAGAATTGTCTGTATTCTGTCGATCATATTTTAATAAAACGCTGATTGACCGGGCAGGCAGTATAGGCGGGAAAGCCAGACAGGAAGTAGGGGTGGAGCAAAGAAACTGGGAGTATTCTGGGAAGCAGGAAGCTCCCTCCGCCACTCCTGCCCAGATCACCAAAGAGGCAACATGTGAGCTGCCATGCTGAGAAAAGGTACCAAGCCATATGGCTAATATAGATCAGAATAATGGGTTAATATAAGCTATAAGAGTTAACAAGAAGCCTGAGCTAATGGGCCAATCAGCTTTATAACTTATAGAGATCTCTGTGTGATTGATTTTCCTTGGGACTTGCCGGCTTGTTGGGGTACTGGGTGGGACAGAAACCCCAACAAGCCGGCCCCTTGTGCTACAAGCAAGTCTGGTGGGCTTTTAAATACAATTTGGCAAAGTAAAAATTCCCTAAGAAGGTGAAAAGTAAGAAGACTTAAATTCTGCCAAGATGCTGTTGAAAAACAAAAAGAAAAGAAAAATGGAGAAAGCAAACCTTGAGTCCTAGAAAGCTTTGAAAGTATTTGCTTTGGAAAGAAGTATCCTTCTATTTGAGCATGAATTTCACTCTTTTCCCTGAATTACCTGTTTATAGGAAAGAATTCAAAAAGGTTAGTTGTGTTTTTGAGAATGTATCTCATTAAAACCTTTTTATTTTAGTGTGGCATTTTTAATATAAATTTAATTTTGAAAGTTTTATATTTAGGATAAATGGTAACTTGCTTCTTCAAAGCACCAAATATTTAAGCAGAAGATGTTCAGACTATGGCTGTTCCTCTTCTGTAGCCAGTTTTCACTATAAAATGTGGGAACTAAGTTGTGGTGACAGGGAATCTCATCCTCTCCTTCCGCTTGATGAGAGGAAGAATGGCATCGCTAAAGCCAACTGTAACAGGGACTGGGCAACTCCTTTAGATGGCCACACCCATCCGTCCCAGTTTCTTTTTCAAAAATTTATTATAATTTGGTGCATACAGATGTCTTGTCTGTGTATATATATGTGTATTATATGAGTAGTACCTGGTGCCCAGGAAGGCCAGAAAAGGGCATTGGTTGTGAGCTGTTGTATGGGTGCTGGGAATCAAACTCATGTCCTCTTCAAAAAAGAAGTTAGTGCTCTTAAGCCCTGAACCCTCTGTCCAGCATTGACTGAACTGTACTGCTGCAGATTCATATACACAGCACACACAGTGCCAGCTGGGGAAAACCGTCATTGGACCTAAAGGAGCTCAAGAAAAGTTTGCCTTTGGTTGTATTTTCTTCATATGAAAGCTAAATTTGGAGTTTGAGTTTTGCATATAAAACTTGTGTATTTATGCCCAGGCGTGTAGGAGAAAAAGTCTAATATTTGTGTATGTGGATTTAGTGATAGTTTACAGTAAAGTAGATAGTTTTTTTAAAATACTATTTTGCTTTGTGGGTTGTTTTTGATGAAGTGTCACTATGTAGCCAGTGGTAGCTTATAACTCAGCAATCCCCCTCACTCCACTTCCCAAAGCATCCCACATGGTGGGATTGCCCACTGCCATGTCTGATGTAGAAAATTCTTGTTTTCTATGGGTAAAAATAGTGCACGCCTTTAATCCCAGCAGAGACAGGCAGATCTCTGTTAGTTTGGTGTCAACCTGGTCTACAGAGCAAGTTCCAGGATAGGCTCCAAAGCTACAGAAAAACCCTGTCTTGAAAAAACAAAAACAAAACCAAAGAAACTGATTGCATTTGACTAGATCTGCCTTCTTCCCTAGTCCCGAGTCCCTCTGGAACTCTTTTTTTGTGGGGTTGCCATTTGCAAACTTGTTAGTTCCTTAGTTGTTTCTTTAATCTTGTTTTTTTCTCTTAGTCATTTTGTAGATGATGTCTGTGAAGCCATGAATTGATGTGTTATAGCAGGAGGGCCGGCTTGTTGGGGTTTCCATCCCGCCCAGTACCCCACAGCCAGCAAGTCCCAGAGAATCAATCACACAGAGATCTCTATAAGTTATAAAGCTGATTGGCCCATTAGCTCAGGCTTATATTAACCCATTATTCTGATCTATGTTAGCCACGTGGCTTGGTACCTTTTTCAGTTGTCAGCTCACATGTTGCTGCTTCAGTGATCTGCGCAGGAGTGGCGGAGGGAGGGAGCTTCCTGCTTCCCAGACTATTCCTGTTCTCATCGCCCTGCCTCTACTTCCTGTCTGGTTGACCCACCTATACTTTCTGCCTGGCCAATCAGCGTTTTATTAAAATACATGATTGACAGAATACAGACAGTTCTCCCGCACCAATGTGTCATTACCTAAGATCCTAACTCTCATAGTTAGAATAAATGGTACATTTCAGAGTTACTTTGAATTAGTAATATAAATTGTATAATCTTAAGATTTAGCACAGTTCCTCAACTAGAGGACTATTAGTGTGTATTTTTTTTTCTGCTGAGTGAAGCAGATTTATTGACCTGATTTGTGTTTGTAGGAAAAGGATGCAGTTATGAGTCCACCCAACAGAGACCACTTTGATTTCTAGGACTCTTAGTACCTTCCTTAAAAACACAAATAGTGGGGTTGAGGAGATAGCTGAGGAGTTCAGATCCCCAGCACTTGTGGTTTATTTTGTTGGAGTTTGAGGTGAGACAGGGTTTGTCTGTATAGCTCTGGCTGTCCTGGAACTCACTCTGTAGACCAAACTGGCCTCAAATTCACAGGAATCTACTTACCAAGTACTGGCATTCAAGGCATGCACCACTGTCACCACCATCTGGCTCATTTATGTTTCTGTTTTTTCAAAAAAAAAGAAAGCAAGCAAGCAAGCAAACAAGCCAGGTTAGTGGTATACACCTATAATCCCAGCTCTAGGGCAGGGGGTTAGGGATCAGAGTCAGGTGAATCCCTGGAGCGTATCAACCACTCAGTCTACTAGAAACAGCAAGCTGTAGGTTCAGTCTCAAAACAAAACAAAACAAAAAAAACCAAAAAAAAAAAAAAAAAATGAGGTGGAAGGGCTTAAAGGATGGCTCAGTAGTTAAGAGTGTGTGCTGTTCTCCCAGAGGACCCAAGTCAGTTCCTAGCGCTCAGTGATGCCTCATAGCCATCTGTCTCTTCTGGCCTCCTCAGGTACCATGCACACAGATAGTACAGGCAAAATATCTATATCCCTAAAATAAAATGAAATTTTAAAAAAAGAAAAGGCAGAGTGATGGAGGAAGAAACCCATAGCTCTATGGGGTGTGGGTGTACTGTGTAACCTTTCTGGTGTTATTTCTTTTACAGAGAGAAGGAGCAAGAAAGGGAAGAACAGTTAATGGAAGACAAGAAAAGGAAGAAAGAGGATAAAAAGAAAAAAGAAGCCACTCAGAAGGTGAGTTAGGCATTTAGGTCTATCATTTGCCGGTCCTCCCTAATTAATGACTGCCTTACTTGAATACCTACCCAAGATACTAGTTTATTTGAAAGTAGAAAAATGTTTGAAGTTTATATATATATATATATTACTATACAGTGAATGATTAATAGTGCTTCAGCTTATTGCATGAAAACATTAGTAAAGAATATTAAAGTCCCTACTTGTGCTTCAATAGCTGAATCACAATTTAGTATCCATCTTCTCTCCAAGTTTATAGATAAACTCTCTCTCTCTCTCTCTCTCTCTCTCTCTCTCTCTCAGGTTCTCTGTGTAGCTTTAGGGCATGTCCTGGAACTTGCTTTGTAGATCAGACTGGCTTTGAACTCACAGAAATCTGCTGCCTCTGCTTCTCAAGTGCTGGGACTAAACGCAGTGCCACCACCATCCAACCAGACAAACTTTTTAAAACTTGCTTGAGTATGCCCTATTTTTATTTTATTTATTTATTTTTTCCTGTCCCTGGCACTATAGTTTAGGAAATTTTATTTTATAATGATCCCATCAGTGAACTGCCCTAGGGGCATGTGTTGAGAAGCAGGAAGATGCTCAGTTTGAGGTTATCCTGGGCTACATAGTAAGTTTCAGACCAGTGAGAGCTGCATATTGTGACCCTGTCTCAGAAACACTGAAAAAGAAATGGTATCTTGCACAGTCCCTTGGAGAATAGAGCATTACATAGCTGCAAGGAATGTGCTTGGAGAGAAAAGACAGAGCTGACAGCTGTCAGGTCTCCGCTGAAAACGTTTGTCTGATGGGACTGTTGGAAGCTGAGAGTGGTGAGAACGTCCTGACAGGTGCAGCCTTTTACTTCAGAGCATTGCTCCTACCCCAGCACACAGACTATCCCTGCCTGGCCGGGCTTTTCCCTTCTTCACTATTCCTGTAGTAACGTGGGTCATGGGCTCTGGCTCTTGAGGGTTGCTGTGGTTCTTTTTCTGAAGACAAGATTTGCTGGCCAGGTCTTGTATGATTACATGGAGATTTGGAAAGCGGAGCCTCACTGAGGTCAGTCAGCATGAGGGTCCCTACTGGTTCTAAAGCTAAGTTTGTAGAGGTATTATAAACTGTTAGAGCTTCAGAGAGAACTGTTCACAAAGAACAGTAAAAGGCTATCAGACCTAATGGGAAGCAGAAGGGCCACGTTGCAAGTTTTCCCAGCATCACTGAGGATGCATGTCCTAAAATTTTATTATTTGAAGTCATATTTAAATAGAACATTAAATGAGGAACAGCATTTGAAAAATCTTGGAAAGACTTTGTGAATTGGGTTGCAGATAACCTTGGTGTGTCAAGTGTATGAATGTAATTCATTCTTTATGACTTAATTAAAAGGAACAGGCAGTTATTATTTAGTACTGCATCAGACTGCTGTGTGATTTAAATTTTTGTCTGCTTTTAATGGTATTTCTGTCATGTTGATAGTGGTACATCTTTTATCATATCTTCATGCTGTCAGAGTACTTGCTGCCAATCTTAGCCTATCAGAATTACCTGCAATTCTAGAATAAGGAGTATGAATTTTAAAAAGCAGATAATGAGCTTGGTGTGGTGATGTACCCCTATAATCCCACTATTTCAGAGGTGGAGGCAAAATGATTAGAAATTGAAGGTGTTCCTCAGCTACATAAAGAGTTCTGTGCCAAGTGGGTTTATGTAAAACTGTCTCACAAAAGAGCGAGAGAGCACTTTGAATGTAGAGCCGCCTTCCCTGTCAGTGAGGCTGAAGTATGCAGGTGCACTGGTGTTAGCATATTGGTTCTGTTGCCCTGTGGCCTTTGAACTCCTGCCCTGGACCTTGCTGACACTCCACCACCGCCCAAAATGAAAAAAAGAACTCAAGTGGAATAATTAGATTGAACTTAGAGAGAACTTTCTCCCCCTACGTCCACACATTTTTTTTTTAATTGGGCTATATTTTTTTTTCTGCTCCCCTCCCCTTCTACCCTCTCCCATGATCCCCATGCTCACAATTTACTCAGGAGATCTTGTCTTTTTCACACATTTCATCTACTAAATTGATCCAGAATTTCACAGTTTGGGAATGGAGTTAATAGGCTGGACACCAAGGATCTGAATAGGGGTTGTTGACTAGATGACAAGTAGACAGTGATTGTTTCAGAAAGTATATATTCTGTCTTCATTCTTAACATAAATGTTTGTTTGTAAATCAAATATGCACCTGCAGACTTTTATTATGTATTGTACAAATAGAAAATTTATTTGAAATAAAGGAGAATCTGGTTACATTGGAAAGTGATTATTTACAAAAAGTGTATAGTCTGTACAGCTAGGCAATCTTCCCCATGTGTGTGCATCTACATTGAAGACCAATTAAGAAATATTGACAGGGGCTGGAGATGGCTCAGTGGTTAGGAACACTGTCTGCTCTTCCAGAGGAGTCGGATTCAATTCCCAGCACCCATATGGCAACTCCCAACTGTTTGTAACTTCTGTTTCAGAGGATCCAGTGCCCTCATACAGACATACATACAGGCAAAACACCAATGTACATAAAATAAAAATAAATTTAAAAAGAAATAATGATAAAGATAATAATAACCTTAAATTTGAAGGGATTAATCATGACTAATATAAAAATTTTTGTTGGTCATGGTGATGCCTGCCTGTAACCCCAATTCTTGGGTCTAGGCAAAAGTATTAGAAAGAAGTTCAAGCCAGGGCTGCCAAAAAGAAAGAAAAAAAACATTTCAGATCAGCTAACAAAGTCTAGGCTGACACTTTGTCTTTGACAACATTTTATTATGCTGAACCACTGTATAATTTTATAATTAAATTCCAATTTAGCAGTTTTAAGGAAAGAGCACAAAAGATTGCTTTAGTGGTTCCAGCATTATTGTAAAGACAGCTCAAAGTCATAAAATGTGCTCTGGAAGAAAGAATTGTAGAGAATATGCCAGAAATTCTATTCTGTGGTTGTTAGTTGGCTTCCACATCTTTCTTGTTTTCCTCATAATTTTGTAACCACCTCTTTGTGTCTGTCTTCCTCTTTAAACAAGGTATACATTTCTTAAAATTTACATTTATTTTTTTTAAGATTTATTTATTTATTACATATACAACATTCCTTCCATGTATGCTTGCGTGCCAGCAGGGAGCACTCAGATCTCATTATAGATGGCTGTGAGCCACCATGTGGTTGCTGGGAATTGAACTCAGGAACTCTGGAAGAGCAGTCTGTGCTCTTAACCATTCACGTGTCTGGGACCCAGTAGTTGCTCAGAATGTTTGTTGAGTGATGGAATGCTCAAGAATGGGTGGTAGTAGGCTGACTGTGTAACTTGGTGGAAGAGTGTTCTGGGTTCCATCCTCAGCCCTGCAGGGAGAAGAAGAATGAATGATGCCAGTGTAATGTTATTAAAACATTGACTTTCATTTAGGGCTAAAATTAAATTTCTTCCACACAGAAATTAAACATGAACCTCTTTCCACCGTGTTCAGTGGCAGTTTGCCCTTTCCAGAACCATCCCTGTGTAAACCATGTTGAATTCCCATTCACGAGAGAGGTGTAAAGAAGGACTCCATTCATTCATTAGGCTGATGCTGCGAAAGGAGCATTGTGTAATGTTGGCAGGACATGGACTCTGACTGTCCAGCTTTCCAACATCTGAGAATTGGCTGTTGTAACAGCACCCACATTATAAGACATATTCAACATGATTTAGATTTGTTGCTTACAACTGGGGGAAGTATTGACTTTTATTCAACTAATCTTCAAAGTGGCATTCCAAGAAATAGTTACAATGGAATAAAACCTAAATTGCCATCAGGAATTGGTGTGTGAATCAAACCATTCATTCTTGGATAATTGGGGATTGTAGAAAAATGTACAAGGACTTTTCACTAGAATTGAACCTGAGCAATTAGTAGTGTAGAGCAGGTTCATTTTAAGACACTTTTCCACAGATTTCAGTGTAGTACAATTAGCCTGTCCTTTAATACAAAGATGTAAGAAGAGCTCCAGGGAGTCCTAAGAATAGAGCGTTTAGGTCAGATTCAGAGTCTAAGTGTGCTAGGATCTATTTGTGGGCCGGTTAGCTACCGGACATGCACTTCAAAGATGTCCATGTTTTCATGAATAGCAGTAAACTGGAATGATTATCAGCCACACATGTCTTTTAAAGACGATTGTAACATTCATTTTTAAATTAATTAACCATTCATTTAATGACATTTTGGGTAATATTTGAAAGTATATAAAACAGTGCCTAAATGAAAATATATTTCCTTTTATATATGAGTTTATCTCCCACCATAATTTTGTTTAATATATTTTTGGTTTGGGGAATTTCAGACTTGCATACAATATATATTTTAACTATATTTACTACTCCCATTCCTCTCCCAACTCCTCCCAGATCTACCCCATCAGCAACTCCCAATATCCTGTCATCTTCGTTTTTTTGTTTGTTTGTTTGTTTTGTTTTTTGAGACAGGGTTTCTCTGTACATTTTTTTTTAAATAGCCTACTGATTTTAATTTGTGCTGCTCATGTAGTCCAGGGTGTGGGGCCTTCTACTACTATGCCCAGTAAAGCCGAACCAGGGGCCTAACCCTTAAAGAAAGCTTTTTCTGCCTCAGAAGCCATCAGCTGTCATCCTCAGTTAGAGGTGGGGCTTCAAGACCCCTCCCCCCTTTGTGCAGGATTGTTAGCTGGATTGATTGTGTACAGGTCTTTTCTAACTGCTATGAATTCATGAGTGCGATGGTTCTGTCTGGTCCAGACCTTTTTTGGTCCTACCTTCTAGCTCGTACTGTCTTCCTGCCCCCTCTTCCTCTGTGGTCCCTGAGCCTTGAAGCATAGCATTCATTTTTTAATAACTTCTTTCAAAGTCAGATAGTCAGTGTGAAAGTGCTTTAGCAAATTGACAGTTTGGAAAAGTAGGTCAGATATGGTATTAACAATGTGATTTATCTGTGGCTAGGATTCTGGCTTACTTGCTTTGGGATGTTTTTCTTTTGGTGGCCCTTTTGTGGTTTTGCTTTTATATTACAGGAAGTATATGATGAATATCGCTGTGTCATTGTGCCCCCACTCCACACTGCTTTGTAGCAATATCAGAAGTAGTTTACCTCTGTCTTAGAAAGATTTCCAGCACGACCCCACAAGTCCATTGCTATATTTAACTACCCATCATTTTAGGCTTTTTCATAGACTCTTACTTATTGAAATACTTTTAACAAAGCACTCATAAATTTTGCTCAAAATTTGCATAATTCAGTCTTATGTTCTCCTTTATAACTTTGATGATGATAGCAGATATCAGTTGAACATTGGCATGATTATCTGATGTAATTCTTACCAAAACCCTGGTAGGGAAAATGACTATTTCCCCAGGTAAATGGTTAATTGAGATCATACAGGCTTGGTATCAAATCTTCCTTGCAACCATGATTCCTAATTCAGGATGGGTGCCTCTTGTGCTTCTTAAGTTTGAGCTCAAAGGTATGTGAGTTCATACTCAGGTAGAATCTTTTTGCGGTAATTTAGTTTCTGGCCACATCTGTTGGATTTTCTGGAATTAGAGCAATCAGAATAGCTAACTATTCCCAGTACATCATTCAACAAGTAGAAAGTTTTTTTTTTAAAGTTGTTGTTTGGTTTTTGATTTTTGTTTGTTTGTTTTAAATTTAGATTTCCTTCAAATTCTAGTTGTGTCAGTATGACTAAACATATGGACATAACTTCTAGAAAGATGTCCAAATTGACTCACAGCTGTTTTGGATTTCAACTAAGCCTGGATACTATGTGTTCTGACAATTTGAATTGCCTGCATTAAAAGAGTTAAAATGGTCTTACAACACAGTACTGAATTTAAAAAGCAAATTTTATTTACTTATATCTGTTATTTATTTTGCAGGTCACGGAACAAAAAACCAAAGGTAAGATTTTTATTCTCTTTTTGTGTTTAGATTTCACGATGCTGCTGACTCAGCCTTCAATCCATTCAGCAGAGAGTAGGTACAATAATTAAGGTGGGTTGTTTGCAGTCACTGAAGAGCAGTAATGACAAACAAAAAGCACTCAGAATTGTGTTTCTAGTTTGGCCTTACATTTTTAGGGAGCAAAAGAGTAAATACTTTGTTTAAAAGTGTGTGAATCATGATTTTGAACTAACCTCTTTCAGAACTTTTAGTAGACAGTGACAAACTGCCAACTCCTAGTTTTAGATGACAGTTGCTGAGAGCCCTTACCCATCTTGGTGCATGGAATGCATTGTGTCTGGAACTGGAATGTCACATCTAGAATGTTCAACAGCCTTCTGAACTGGAGCCTGGACTGTGATTTTTAAGATACCAAATTTTGAATAAGTTAACTCTGCTTGAAAAAAAAATCTGATGTGTTGCAAACAGATGCAAATGACCCTTAGGTCATTCTCAGTCTGATACTATCCTTTTCTGTGGTTCTTTCTGCTCTCCTGATTCTAATTATGTAATTTTGTTTGATAATGGTCATTGTTGGATAGCAGGCCTTAATAGTGGGAGAGAGAATTCCTTGAGATAATGCTTATTTTGAGCACTTAAACATGTGGTTCTCATTTAAGTGTATATTAAAACAGTTGACCTAGTCGTCAAATTATATGCACCCAGGCTGCTGCTAGACCTTGTCTTATCTAGGCTGAAGCTCTTAGAGATGTACCTTGAAGTGTCTGTGCAGCCTCAGAACATGAAAACCATCAACCTGGATTAAAAAAAAAAATCATATAAGGGTTGGAGATTTGGATTTGATAAGAGTCCCTTTAATGGTGAGGTAGTTTGAGTTCACTTTGGTTTAGTTGGTCAGTTTGGTCAGTTTGATGACTAACAGGCAAAAACATGCCATTTAATGAATTTAATGATTGATTTTCATAGATGTTTTATCTAAAGATAGTTTTCTTAGAAAACATAATTATGAAAAATAAATTCTCAAATAAATACATATTAATCTATTATATTTCTAATCAAAGGCATATCAAAGGAGACTATGTCCTGGGCCTTTGTTGTGATTTAGAAAGTAAATTGTGAGACACTGCTATTATTATATCTATTATTATTAAATGCTATTATTATTATCTTAATTGGTTAGGAGAATAGTGTTCTTTCCCTTGTCCAATTCAGCCATTTCCGAACCCACAAGTAGGCTTTCTTCTAGAAATATCCATCCAATATGTATTTTTCCTAAGCCTATTTAGAAGTATACTTTGTGAATGAATTTGGGGAACAAAACATTTATCAGACTTTGCAGGGCAGGGCAGGAAGTCTCACTGTATAGCGATAGCTAAACTGGACCTCATGATGTTGACCAAGCTGGCCTTGACCTTGCAATGCTCCTCCTGCCTCTGCCTCCTGGGTGCTTTAATTACAGGCGTGTGCTATTGGCTTTATGAAAGGACTTTTGCAGTGGTTATCAGGTGAGAAAATTGGTGTTTTCCTGACAAGCCAGACTCTGTGTTAGTAGAACATAAAGAATATGGTAGAAGCCAGCTTCTGCTTCTATCCTATAGAAAAGCAAAATCCACTAGGCATTCTTTCTCCAAATGGTAATAACAATACCAGGTCTGTTCACACACACTATGTTCTCTCTTCTGCCAAAGTCTTAAAAATCAAACTTTCCTTCCTATGTACCCTTCTACTTGGATCTTTTTCATACCTACTGTAGATGAATCGTACTTCCCTGTCTCCTTACTCTTCCTGCTCCCTCAATTGGAAAATCAAGTCAGATAATCCCTAAAGGGAGATGAGGGCCTAGCTTGGGTCTCCAAGGGATTTAATTCTTAGAACCAGAGAGAAGACAGGAAGTTTAAATACGCATACACATATGTAATATGTATATTCCTATTTCTTTTTGAGGTGTGTCAGACTCACTAGCCTTGCTAGGTTTGTTCCATTTCGTGATCAAGTCTTTGTCTTTGTTGAGCACCCTCCACCTCATTCTTTTGTCTGAGCTGACATTTCTGGTTCCTGTTCCTCTCCCCAATGACAGTTATCTTCTTAAGCAATCTGCCCTTAACTCTGAATCTACTCTTTTCCCAGCAGAGAAAAAAAGAAAAGACTGTGTTGGTGCCAAGTCTGGGTTGTACAAGGACTGAAGTAAGATTTTTCTGTATTTCAGAAAAACAGTGTATCGGTTGTATGTTCTTCCTTCATCTTCCACCATTAAAAATCGTATGGTGAGAATCCCGGAAAGGAGGGTAGGACAGGGACTTCAGCCAGTCCTCTGAGGACATGTGCTAGCTGTGCCTACTCAGCTAAAAAGAAGAAAAAGCACTTAGGCAAAAATTTAGATACTCTTTTGTGTATATTAAATAAACACAAAACAGTTTGTAAAATCAGCACCAGGTCAGATTTAACTAAGTGAAATTTCACAGGGAAAAGGGTAAGGCTAGGGTTAAGAGCCCAATTATACAAACTACATAATAGCAGAATTTGGCCTTAACAATTTAGCCTTGCTGAAGTGTGCTATAGGATGATGATTGCCTTAATGAGAGCTATCAGTATAGAATGAAATGACTGATTTCTAAACACTAGCATGACCTTTAGCTGCTAGAAAGTATCCAGAGTGGGAATTGCAGGTCTGTAGACATCAGTATGGAAGGGGAAGCCTCCATGGACCATGCACAGTTTGGGTCAGGTTGGCCAGGAATTTATCACTTCAGGCAGATTTAAATAATGTGGGGTTGTTTAGTTTTCATGTCTTCCTAACTGAGGACCCTCAGGTAGGGCTCTGGTTGCTAAGATTGAACATGTCCACAGTAACTATCTGCTTTTTTTCTAGTGAGGCTTAGGGTGAGTCAAAGAAGTGGGAGAAAGTGGATCAGTTTTTAAATGTTGTGGTTCAAAGTACTAAATTATAACCTTGCCCCATACCCCATTGGCACACATCTGAAGGAAAGCATTTCCCATAACCATATCTGGGATTGTGGGTCATTTACTACATTGACTTCTGAGTTTATTCTAGGAAACATATTATAGTGTGTGCATGTCAGTCGCTCAAATAGACTACCAACAAGGTCCCCACATTGTAGAGGCACCTGTGTGCTCTAATAGGTGGTAGCATTTGTTTAGGAATGGAAATAGGGCCAGTGAGATCATTGGGTGAAATTGTTTGCCATTCAAGCCTGATGATCGGGTTCAATCCCTAGGTCCATAGTGGAAAAAAGAAAAACACTCAGAAATTGTCCTCTGATCTCTACACATTTTGTAGCATGTATACACCTGTATTATCTCTCACGCATAGATATTATACACACATAAATAAATGAATAAATAGGGAGACGGAGAGAATTAGCTGTCTCTAAGATGAGTGATTATGAGCTGTTACAAAACATGCACTCAGATAAGTGAGCCAAATTCTCATGTGGGAGGGAATGAGGGTGGACAGTACCTGGGTAAAACAGTGGTGAAAAAGAGGAAGGAAGTAGAGTTCAGCGTCGGTTCCTAGGTAATGGTGTGTGTTTGGGATGAGGACATAATGAGTCTTAAACACCTCTAGGCTGAAACGCAAGTTTGGTGATAACTTCACAATGCTAGGAGTTAATGGAGCTTAGGGCTGGGGGTCAAGTTTGAGGGGAGCAGAGAGAATAAAAGAGACCTAAGTTGGAGATAAAGGAAACAAAGTTACACAGTGATAATTAAAGCCTCTGCAGAAGAGTTTAATTCTCAACAACTCAGTGTGAGAAGTAGGCAGCCCCACCTGTTTGTTATGGGTAGATGGAGACAATTGACCACTGCAAGTGTCCTCAGGTCACTCATACAGTGACCTGAACGTGCACACGCTTATGTGCAAGCGTGTGTGCACACACACACAAATATATGTAATTAAAAAAACTTAAAAGATGTAATCTCAGTGTTTGGTGTGATTTATACCTGTAATCTCACCCAGACTTGAGACTGAGTCAGGAAGATCGTCATGAGCTGGAGGCTAGTCTGAATAAAACTGCAGAATTCCCAAGTGAGGGAGTGTGTGTCTATACATGCACGCATAGCTAATGGCCAAAGTAAATGCCCTTTTGTAATTATAACTAAAAGAATGGTCAAAAGCAGGGGCTGCTCCTGTGTCCTACAAGCCAAATCTGACCTGCTTATTTTTATACTGCCTGTGAGCAAAGAGAGTTCTTTAAATTCTTAAGTTGATTCAAAGTACAATGTCTGTGAGAATGTAAAATTCCTGGCTCACTGTCGAATAAATCCTTACTAAAGCACAGCCATAATCTATGGCTGCTTTCACTCTTCTAGTACACACTTGAGTTGCTGAAGCTAAAACCTTATGCCCAGTGAAACCTAAATATTTACTGTTTAACCCTTGTTCCACAATATGGAGGACCCCAAAGGGAAATGAGGAAGAATTGAAGAGCTACCAGAGTAAATTCAAAAGAACCAGTAGTCAGGAGCCGCAGGCATGATGACAAGTGCCCAGTGCCCTCTAGACTGGCAGTGAAGACCCTGGTGACTGGAGGAGGAAGATGTTGGATACAGAAGCCAGTGTGTGTTAGTGGAAAGTGAAGAAGTAGAGATAAATGTGGAGGTCACTGAGAATCACATGGTGTGGGTTAGGTCACCTGTGCATGAGATAGTCTTCGAGGTTTTAAATTGTTTAACCTAAAATAGAATATTTTCTATGACTTTAAATGCTTTTGTTTAGTTTTAATTTTATTTTTAATTTTTGTTTTATTGGGTATTGCATCTAGAGTCTCTTGCTCACCACAGAACTACATCCCTAGCCCTTTTACAAACATTTCTAGGTGAGGTCTGTGTGTGTGTGTTTGGTCCTGTTAAGATGAAGGAAGTAGTAGCTTGTATTGGTTCTGTGCACTTGCTGGGTCTGTTGTGTAAATAGACAATTCAGAAGCTTGTCAAGTTCAAACATTTTTTTAAAGAACTCTTCCTAGAAAAAAATGGCACCTTGCTGATGCTTTCAGAAATGAGGCTAATGAGGCTAAAACTGCAAACCAAGAATGTTCTAAGTTAAGAGAGTAGAAAGGGGGATGATTCAGTCAATAGAGTATGTAATTTCTAAAGTACATGATAGAAATTAGAAAATAGGACACAGTATTCTACAGTGTTTATTTGAAGCATAGACCTTTGGTGGTTATTTTGGTGGGATTGAACCAACCAGAGTTGAGCTAGGCAGCCACATCAGCCCCTAAAGCATATGTAGACTTTCTCTGGCAAAGAAACTGAGACCTTGAGGCTTTTGAACCCCAGCACCAAATAAACCTGGTTCAGAGGCTAGAGTAGCTCATTTTAGAACTATTTATGCTTCAGCCTACAAGTCATTGACATTGAGAAGAGAGACCTGGCGGGCACCTCTCTGACTGAGACCTGACACTCCGGAGGTACACTAGGTTCTGATGTCTTAGCTTTGAACTTGGAAGAATCTGTAAAAATGTTTGTGTTCCACCTAACAGTTCCTCCAGTAGATGTCAAGGGTTTTGCTTGCCTTTCAAACTTAATTTATCATGTGTGTATGTGCGGTCAGAGGATAGCTTGCAGGAGTCATCTCATTCCAGTGTGTGGGCTCCATGTATTTTAGGCTTGGTTGCAAACACCCCTACCCATTAAGCCATCTTCCTGTCCCTTATTTATTTAAAATTCATAAAGAAAAAATCAGCTAGGCGGTGGTGGTGCATGCCTTTAATCCCAGCACTAAGGAAGCAGAGTGTTGCTCTCTTTTTTAATTATTGCTGCCTTTTAAGCTAAGGCTATCCTAGTCAGCAGCTGCAACCCCTCGCTACCACACAAGAGCCTCAGCCTGAGAAAATTCTGTTTCCTCGGGTACCGACTCTTTCAAAGCTACAATAGGAACTTACCTAAATCTCTGTCCTAAAGAACTCAATATTTGGGGCTGGAGATATGACTCAGTGGTTAAGAGCACTGACTGCTCTTCCAGAGAACCCGGGTTCAATTCCCAGAACCCACATGGCAGCTCACAACTGTCTGAAGATCCAGTTTCAGGGGATCTGACATCTTCACACCAATGCACATAAAATAAAGTTAAATAAACCATGAGAATATTTATAAAAAAAAAAAAAAGAACTCAAGATTCAGAGGTTGAGGTAGAATTCTGCTCCCCAGAGAGGCTGAATAGGAAGCAACTCATCTCCTTGTGTCTCACCAGAAGTTCTCATGCTTCTCCTCACCTTATAAACCCTTCTCCACCTGGCTCCTCCCTACAACTTCTAGTCAGCTAGTTGCTGACGCAGACTCCTGACCGCAGGTGAATTTTATTTAATCAAACATATCTTTGTACCCTTACA